GTTAACATGGTTAAAATGAAAGTACAAGAAAATGACTTTGAAATCTTAGTACCTTACACGTATAGACGTTGCTGTTAATGTTACTACGAAATTCGTGAGTGTAAAACGTAATATTTCTTATTCCAAACGCAACGAAACTAAAATATACCACCTGAACCACACTGATCGGCACAAAATAAAATCATTCGAAGCTCAAGTGATGCAAAAAAGACCACCATTACTAGAATTTGCAGCCACAAGTTTTTCCAGAGTTGTCTCGCCTACAGCTTCAATTCATAAGTTGCTGCACCTAATTAATTTCAAGCTTTCAAGCTGACAAAGACAACGAGGACGTGAAAGAGCAGGGGCATCTATAAATATATCCCCCAGCAAGCAAACGGACTAGAAGTTTGGCGTTGAGCACAGCGGAAGCGAAAGTTGAAGTTTTGGCGCGCTAGCCGAAAAGTTTTGGGAAATTATTAGCCGGCCGGCTAGCTGCCGGTACGTTAATTCAAAAGTGGGTAAAGCGTGTGTGTGTAGCTAAAAGCTTCGTGCTCGAAATTTATCGTAGGTATAGCATGGGGTTTTCATTATGTTCGGTCGATTTTATTGTTTTCTGTTAAAATTACATTAAATTGTATTGCTTGAAAAATCATTTTAAATCCACAAGTGTTGATCAGAAAATTGTACGAAACAAATAAAAACGTACATGTTAACTGTGTTAAATCAAACGAAACAAAAAAAGTTGATTTTTATTTGTAAAAAAGTATTAAAACAACATAAGATTTTAATTTCGTTGTATCAAAACAATATGAAACTGATTTTAATTTCGTTTCGCTTTTATTTTTAAATAAAAACTTTTGTTTTGTTTATTTGGTTTATTTTGTTTACACAAATAATAGTGACAAGAATACTTTTACTTTTTTTCTCTAAAAACTAAAAAACACTCGTACTCGGAGCTAATTGTTTCAAGATTGCATAATTCCATTGCTTTTTTAAAATAATGAAAAAACGGAATTACTACTTAATCTTGTTTTCTTGGAAAAAAGCCAAATTATTTATGATTTGCTTTAGTTATAAAACGTTACAAAAAATATTTTGTCTGTTTATGAAAAGCAAATACACATCTATAAAGGAATTNCGTAATATGTTCTGCTGCTGTTGCTGCTAAAAGAGCATCAAAACTCCCCATGTACGAAAGAGTTGGAGAGATCGGTGATTCTCGAACTATATCGGTTCACCGTCTGAGGAACATGAACCCTCATAATGTTAAATAAAAAGTAAAAAAAATGGTAAAAAGAACGAAAAGAAAAAAAGGAAAAGACAAACAAAATTTAAGTTTCGTCCATGCAAGTCCTTGCCTTCGATCAGATCTTTTGAGACGTGAAAAATGTAAAAAAAATTTCATATTTTAAGTTTTTCCCAACCAAAGAAATAATGACTCTAGTAAAAAACCCGTGGCTTCAAACGATAAAATGCTGTACAAGCAGTGCATTAGAGGCATGTTAATAAATCCTCGCAGAACATAAATTACACACGAATGTAATACACGTACAGATCCACACAGACACACGCACACACATCCTCGAGCGATGCAATTAAACCGCATCGTTCAGCTTCTGCTGAAAATATCGCGTACACGCCGTCACTCTATCCATGAACCACGAATACTTATAATTATTAACGCGTATTATTTGTCCACAAACTCCAGTACATTCAGTTGATGCACACCGCAGCAGCTAGTTCAGCTCCCTTGCATTCACGACTCTCATTGCGTTTGCTTTTTTTTACATTTTTGTTTTTTGTTTTCCAGCTCACTCGTTCTATTTTCGTCTACGACCTCCCCGTTGGGAAATTAATCTCTCTAATTACTTGCGTGGAGCACGTTTTACACGCGCATTGCAGTCATAAGCAACCAGAACTGCCTTTTTTTAATTACGTCTGTGTGGTGTGGGACTTTTTAACCCTCCGATGGGGAAACGATGTCTCATATACTTTGACGGACTCGATAGTAGTTATTTTTTTTTTTTCCGCACGGGACAAGGAGTTCTAGGCATGTTAAACAAGACTCACGTTTCACGTGACATTAAATTAAGAAACGAGAAACCAAAGAATGTTCAACCAAGTTAACAACGTGGCAAAAACAGTTGAATGGGCTCCTTCAAAAGCTCAGATTTAATAACAAAAATTATTCTAAAGGAGCTCAAGGAAACCAGAAACGGATTACATGGTTGTGAAAACACACGCGTCTATCATCAATACGTGCATAAAGTGTACCGACTACGACACAACGAGAGCGCTTGTATTCCGTCCCAAAAGGGTTAATGCACGCGCGCATGGGTGTACGTGATGATGCACATTCTGGGTGACGATGAAATATCGAGCGACACAGGACGGGCCTCTATACACGTACACGGTATGTGGTCCTCTTGAGTAGGGCACACCCTGTCCTGAATTGCGGTATGACCCGATAACGCGCGTGTTTGCATCGTGCCCGAGATATTTTGATAAGTTGGATTAAGGAGGATCAACGAGTGAATAGTTAATTGGCAGGATACCGTAATTACGGGAAATGATGTGAGATCAGCAAGTATGCGAAGGCTATATAAGGAATTATAGGATCGGTNCGAACATTATTGTCAGTTTATTCTCAACAGAGAAATTAAATGAGCTTTAAATAAGTATATGTACGAACCGCCAAGTCCTCGCCATACGATGCCACGAAGGAATGCGTCAGCAAACCCATGATTGCTGTTGGTCCCACTGTTACGTTCCTGGTGCTCCCGTAAGTGATATAATGATGTATATCTTGTTATGGTTTATTTTTATTTTTATCATAATTAATTAAAACATAGCTTATTACAAGTGATTAAAATTGCTATGCATTATTGTTCATGAAAATAAATGATGTGAGATCAGCAAGTATGCGAAGGCTATATAAGGAATTATAGGATCGGTGCAAAAAAAAATAGCTACTAACAACATTTGAGTCCGTAGGTTTTTATACGAGTAAGATACAACTAATATCATCTCATTATTGCTCAATACAGTAATAAATATGTGCTATTGCAGTACTTTCTCCTGAAAATATACCTGAAAGTGACAATTGGGGCCATCCCCTTTGTTCTTTGCAAATAGTAGAAGATCTAATAAAAATTATAATACTCGAGTGTAAGTGGAACATTCTTTATTGTTCTTTATTGGTTTCCCTTTTTTTCTATGTAAGGAGGCTCCCTCGTGCAGAGATGCCAACTTATGTCGTATGCCACAAATTTTTTCGCAAACTCAGGTATAGTTGGCATCACTGGCGCAAGGGAACTAACATATAGGCTAACCTGTGGAAACAAAATGACTCGATCCATTTTCAAAATAATTTCTCGAAATTTTTCAGGGTAACACTTTCTTTGACAGGTGTCAATTGAAAGAAGAGGTTTTTTTCTACATAACGTGTGCACTCTTATTACGGGAACTGTTGATTTATTCGAGTTGTTAGGTTAATTTCTTCCACCATAAGAATACGTTTTAAAAAGTGCTACATAAAATTAATAAATCTTAAAATTTTGCAGAGTCAGCGATATAAATAATTGTAACATTCAATTCATTAAAATTTTAACTATTAAATTAATCTGGTCTAGGTTCGGAAACTACCATGAAGGAGCCTCCTTAAAAAGCAGAAAGAACTCCCAAAGTAATATGAATATCATCTTTGAAGAAGAGGTATAGGTACCTACGCTAAGAAGTATAGCATCCTCTATTTTTAATAGGAAGAACAATTTTAAACGTAAAATGTTTTACTTGCTGCTCTAATTGTTTGAGAATCCATGATTGTTCTTAGAAACAAGTTCAGTTTAATTATAGCGTTCATGGGAGTACTCACTTGTAATCTAAATGACTTAATAAAGTACATAAAAAATCTGAAGCTCTCATGTGTACGTATAATTTTCTTGACTTGATAAAAAAAATTTTTTACATGATGTGTAAGTATGCAGTTGGCTATACTTTTAGGTTTACTTAAAACTATGATATGTTAACTATAGTATTAATATAGATTAAAGTAGAAAATCCGTCGTCACTAACAAATCAAACTTTTCTTGAATTTGAAGTATGTTGTACATCAAATTATTTCATGTTACCAAAAATTTTTTTAAGTTAGGGTATTGGGACTATTTTTTGAGATATTTAAGTTCAAAGTGCCTTTTTTAACATAAGTTAAATGGATTATACCAATAACAGCTTTGAAGACATTTTTACTTTTTTTCTCTAAAAACTAAAAAACACTCGTACTCGGAGCTAATTGTTTCAAGATTGCATAATTCCATTGCTTTTTTAAAATAATGAAANTACATCAAATTATTTCATGTTACCAAAAATTTTTTTAAGTTAGGGTATTGGGACTATTTTTTGAGATATTTAAGTTCAAAGTGCCTTTTTTAACATAAGTTAAATGGATTATACCAATAACAGCTTTGAAGACATATATAACAAATCAAACTATTTTTATAAAAAAAACTGTATAAATCTTGAAAATTTGTACTTTATTTTGGTCCTTTTAAATTATGGTGTGACGGCACTAAAGAAAAATCAGTGTATTGATTAATATTTTTCCCGTTACAAAAGCATACGGCCATAACCTGTAAGACTGTCGCAATACGGTAAATGACGCACTTCACTCGCTTGATTAACTCGGTCCACGGATTGTCTACCTTAAATTAGACCGAGAGCAATTATAAAAGTAAAATGGAGGTTTTTCGGCTTTCCCAATGTGCTGGTTGTGTAATGAAGCTGATTTTCTTATAACAACCATACTTAACTTATGTGAATCATACTGATAATGTATTTTTATGTTATCATTATAATTGATTTAAAATCTTTTACCTCCTACCTTAAAGCCTATGTGAAGGATTATAATTTATGAATAGGGGGTTGGCGTGCGAAGCGCACAGGAGGGCGGAGCCCCACTAGTATATATAAATATATACATGTATGTGTGTGTAAATATGTTGGTATACATCTAAACTTACCAGCTAGTAGTTGCGAGATGTTGTCGAAAGTCCGGAAGTGTGGTTTGATCGAAGTATCGAAAGCAATGAGGGTTCGACTGGCTTCGTCGCACCAGTTCCAAAAGATTAGTCGTTGCTGGCGTGCCTCAAGATCTGACAGTAGCAGTGACAAGTTCTTTGCAACGGTTGTATCAATTTCATTTACGTTTTGACCATCGATTATCACCATAGTCGTATTCTTCATCACATCGCACCTGGAATACGTTCTTTTTATTTTTGTTTACCTATTACGTCTTCGATTTCTCAAAGTTAGAGCATATTATCAAGGCCGAATATTTGGGAATATAATATTAATTGCTTTCTTGTACAGCCAAAATTGGCTTAAATAAAAAATTAAATACCGTGATATGATAATCATTAGTGCGTATCTCTTACAGGGTGATCACTGGGCGAAAAGTTTTCCTTTCTATTCCAAGGTTATTTAAACGCCCACAGTGTAAAAAAATTCCCGAGGTGTGAGACATATTTTTTTCTACTTTAGACGTTTTTCTTTAACTTTGATAGTTTACTTTGCCCTTGGAAGAAGTATCCTATTTCTCCACTGTAGACCATTTTTTTATTTAGTTTCATTTGGATGTACATTGGTATGTATTTTTAAATTAATAGAACATGCAATTTAGAGCCAATATTAATGGATGAGGGGCTTAGCTCATAACCACCAAAGTTGATATGCTCAAAGGTAAAAAAACAATGAAATTCATAAAAAAGCAGATAAAATCCAAGTTCAATCATGTTATTTCATGTTATTTTATGAAAAACACAATTATAAAGTCAAACATGATGCTGAAAAAGTATATTCGTATGAAGAAAAAAATTGTAAAAAAGGTAATAGTGTTTTATGCATTTACATTACCTTATATATATGATATGTATGCTTTTAAATTGTAAGCAGTTGGAAGCATTTCTTTTTTATTTTTTCACAGAAACCTGCTGAATAAGTAGTATGAAATTCCTTTTGGAGAGTCACATGCACTTACACTTGTAAGGTCCAATATTTCCTTTCTTAAAATTACTAATAAGGTTTTTAATTGAAAATGCCATGAAAAATTTTGAATAGATAGCAAAGTGAAATTTTAAGAAGTGATTGAAGAATAACTTTTAAAAAAAAGTAAATGAAATTTGGCGTTTAAAAAATATTTTTTTTTCATTCTATAAAATACTCAAGTCTTCCATATGCGCATGGCAACGTCTTTAATGACTAGTAATCATTAGTAAATGACGTAAAATTGTTTTTTACCTATTTTATAAATTAAATAAACTATTTTACATGTATACTTAAAACTTCAATTAGAATCCACCACAGATTATTAGAAAAAAAGATTGTTGTTATTGTATCAATGGTATCTGACATGTGTGTTTAAAAAGTGTGTTCAAAAAGCTAGAAGAAAACGTAGACAAGTAAGTAAATTTGGCTTTGAAGCAACAATGATGATTATCAAGAAATAAAACAGTCCCAATTCGACTAAGAATAAAATGAAGTAAGTGATATAATGATGTATATCTTGTTATGGTTTATTTTTATTTTTATCATAATTAATTAAAACATAGCTTATTACAAGTGATTAAAATTGCTATGCATTATTGTTCATGAAAATAACGTATTGTTATTTAATTATGAATTACAATCATTTATTACTGAAAAAATTGATAGTAATAACTAGTACTTAAAAAGGTATAAGATAGTGTTTTAGTTTTACTAACTCTTTAAAGGACCAAATCAATAATATGAACGAACCTAATAATAGTCAAACGCACCTACACTATAGTTATGTACTAATTTGCTCTTAACCCTTACGTTTTAATAAGTTTACTACTAAAGAAATAAAATTGACACATCAACATAAGTTTGCACGGCATGACTTGCACTTTTGTACTTGCCATTTGTTCATAGTAATAATTTGACAAGATCAGAGAATTAAAAAGGAAAATATGTAGGTCATCATAGTTCTGTGATTATCTCTATTGTATACTTGAGGCACCCACTAAACAATATAAATTGTAGAGTTTACAAATAGAAGGGAAATCCCTGATGAAGACGTACGCATTAATCATTATTTGATAAGTATTCAATGCAAAGTTAAAATAATATGAAAGAAATTGCTAAGATTTAACAAAAGAAAGAAGAAATAATGAAGATTACACGAAACTTTATGCAGATGAAACTAAAATGAAATACTGAAAATAACGAATCCGTTTAAATACATAGCAAAAAAAAGACAAACAAAAATGGAGAGAAGGAAAAAAAGGAGGGCAGATAGTATTACCATATTTTCTTGGACTATGGCAGTTGTATTGAGAAAAATGATGAGTACTTTTGATACGTAAAATAAGCTGATATAAATAAAATAGTCAGAACTATTCAAAGAAGAAAAAAGAACTGAAAAGAAAAATATGTAAAGTTAATTTAATAAAAGTGTAATACAAATAAAAAGTTAGTAAACAGAAAAGAAAGTAATTACGGGTACAAAAAAATCATAAAATTCTAAATAAAATAATATGACTCGTTACATAAAAAAAGTACAAGTGTGGTATGGAAGGAACTGGACTCAATACAACTGTGATAATAAATACTGAGTCATCTGAAAAATTCATGATGGTGATACTACTTAACGAGCAAGTAAGCAAACAAAAGTAATGATAAGTTTGTAATTGAATTGAAACACAAGAAAAGCAAGAAGAATGTATGTACATTGAAAAAATAGTTGTGGTAACCGTAAGCGATTCTGATTGACATGTAGTAGTTACACCCAAAAAATCCCTAGTCTGTATTGTTGCTGGATTAAGTTAAAGTTCAAGACAACAGTATGCAACTCACCAGGACATGACTCGTTCACGTAGGTACTCGGCTGCTGGAAAGCTGAGTGACTGTTGGGGCGAGACTAGTAAGACGGGCAAGTCATTAACCAAGCGCTCTTCGATCAGTAGGGTGGGCCGAGCAGTACCGTAAAGCAGCAGAGCCAGATTTGTCGCTATCCCTGCGACGATGCCATAATCAAGTCCAGCGGTGAGACAAAATATGAGGGTCACCAATAGGGGAATCAGATCTATTTCTGTGTGTATTTTGGACAAAGTTATGTTAATTCAAGCTATAGATGTTGGCAATGTTTTTTTTTTACTTGTAAGCTTTTTACCAAAAAAAAATCAAGAAATTCTATTGTATCAAAGTAAATGTCTTATTTAATTCATGCACTGAGAGAAAATAAAATTACTGTGTCATTCCACCGTCTAGGGACTTCTTACTTTGGCCAACATAATTTTTACCAATCTGGACAACTAATTCTATTGTACAAACAGTAAAAATCAAGGTACCTACAACAAAAACTACTGCTCTAAACATTAAAAATTATTTATTATTCATATGATAAAAAAAGCCTCTAGACGACCGAACTGTACCATATTACTGTTATCAACAAAGACAATAGTTTCAAAGCTTACTCTTAGTCCTCCATAGCAGATGAAACAGGTGAATTTCCAGCATGTAGTACATGGCGACTATGATGACGGCAGCGAGGGTGGCCTTGGGAATGAATCTGAGGGTCGAAGTTAGGAGGCCACAGGCGAGAAGAACGAGGCATCCAGTGATGAGGCCGCCAAAGGGTGTCTTCACGCCAGAAGCGTTGTTGACAGCAGTGCGGGTGAAACTACCTGTCGTTGGCATCGAGCGCACGAAGCTACCGAAGACGTTGCACAGGCCCACGGCTATCATTTCTTGGCTCGAGTCTAGCGTTTTACCCTTCGCTGTGGGAATAGGGTCTTTACTTTATTTTTGTTTCCTTGAATAACTACTGCTTTTGTATGTTGAGAAATTGAAGCGTCATGAACCTCACAACTATTGTACTGCCGTCCAACGGAAAAAAAGGTATAAGGGACATTTTTGTCGAAAATGAGTTATTTACACCAATCGATTCGTCAGAAAATTCTGCGTCTAATAGCATATCTATAAATTAAATATCTTATACCGTGGTTTAGTGATAATTGATTGAAAATTGTAAAAATTGCTAATAATTTTCGTCAGCGATCAAAAAATAGTATATTACTCACCTAGGGAGGAAAAATAAAGAATGTCTCAGATCGCAGGCAATTGAAGCCGAGGGCAATAATCATGCGATCTGAGGGATTCTTTGTCTCCTCCCGTGGGTTGTATACGATTTTTCATCAATCCTGCGCCTAGAGAAGGAGTTTTCGTACCGCGAAGCGGGACGAAAGTTCTTACTTTCGGCGCAGTATGATGAAAAAGGATAAGTGACACAAAATGTAGAAATCGCGCCAGGCAGATATCATAAGTGCACTTTACGTTATAAAGTCGATGAGCACTGCCTTGGATCCCAAAGTAGAAAAAGGGTAAGCCCCATAGAATAAGCTGTATTGCTGCACTCACCTTTTTTTTACGAGGAAATTGCGCCGAGTTAGAAGGGTAAGTACAGATTTTCATAGTTTCCATCGAAAAATCATTTTTCTTTTGTGGGAAATAGAATAATTATATCATACGTATTTACATAAAAAAACAGTTTTTCTGCGGTCCAAAACTCAAATTATCATTGATTTTTGAAGATACTTAGTTTTCCTTTATTTTCTCAGTTTGTCTCTCATGTCACTCATACCTTTTTTCCGTTGGACGGCAGTGTTCAGCCAAAAACTTTTTTTTAAGTACTAGAATCCCGTTTTTAACATGAAACAACATTTACAGAAAAAATACTACAACGGCTTCAAGATACCACGCCTATTCTTGAGGGTAAAATGAACCACGATGACAAATACTAGACTCATAATGAGAACATCTCCGTTATTACCGAGTACTTGATATACTGTACGAGTAGTGCCAACTAAAATGAAAAACTAAAGACAGCTATACGTAAATGAAATCCAAATGACACTCAAATAAATACAAAAAAACTCCATGACCATATTTACTTAGGTGAGTCAAATACCTTCACAATTTCTCGAATCCAAAAACAATATCGTGTATAAAAATTAGCGAACTTGTTGGCATATTACCAAAAGACTTGGCAATGGCGATACTCTCGAGAAGGGCGATCAGAGGCACCGATATGACACTGCCACCGTAGATTTGCAGCATGTCCACAAAGTTATAGGTGACATTATTGTGGGTGGTGGTGAACGGTGGCGGGCCAAAGGGTGGCAGACCCTCGGTTATGTTGACTGTGATTTTGAAGGGCTCGATATCCCTTAGCGAGTAGGCGATACTCATGCCTGTCACTACGACCACCGCATTCCTCGCCAAGCATATCAGCCACATGCATTTTTGCGCTAAGTTGCCCCGTCTCTTCCCTGGTAGATTCTGGAAAGTTGTCAACTTCATTCTGGATGGAATATAGGATATCAGTCGAAATAATCAATTAGTATTATCAGGAAAACATGTGGACGCCCCACTTTTCAAGATGTTCCACGTTGACGAACTACAGCCTCGGAAATATAATCGCTTAAAACTTTTCTTATGAGATTTGTTATCGAGCTTTAAATTCAGATCAATAAATTGACTAGTAAAACTCACGTTTGCACAAACTATTTTTTTTCGTATTTCAGTTTACGTTTACTTTTTATCATTCAGTGTTATAGATTTCAAGTCAATGTCACAATTGTTCCTTATAGGGACGGCCGGGTGAAGGAAACTGCTCATTCAAATTTAGGTTTAAAAAGCAGATAACTCAGATTTTGAGAGAAGAAGCAAAAGGCTTAGTGAAAATTTTTTCTATTGGCAATACTGTTTTATTTATAAGCACGAATTTTCAAAGACAAAGTCTTTCTGCTATCAAGATCATACACTTATTTTGTAATACTGAAACAATAATTATTCCGAGTAATCTGCTTTGCAGCCTAAATCTCAACCAGCTGTTGTCCTTTACCTACTCATTCTTATGCATTAGATTTTTGGACTTAAGTTTGAAATGAATACTTCTTCTCGATGCATATCTATTATTTAAACATTAGATCAATCGTAAAACCCACTTACGTGTGACAAATGAAAGTTTAAAAAATTGTATTTTACACTCGCCACTTTCATTTTCATGCCAAACTTAATTTATACAAAATACTAACAAGAGAAAAATTTGTAATGATACTACTTATGAATTCGTTGACATTTTGTTACTATCTCAGTTTTTATACATATACTTATAAATATTTCGTATTAATTACCATAATTACTTTTTTTATTACTGATGTTATCTTTTGACTAATGTTGAGTGTTCTCATTCTTCAAGAAATCAAGATATCGTAAATAGCAATATATTTTCTTTAAAAAAGGGAAAACCAAATAATCAAGTCATTACGTCACCTTTAACACAACCAGAGCAACAATCGAACAGATTCCAAGCACGGAATCGCTAGCCTTGGCTTGAGAATACTGACTGAAAAGTTTTTTGATGGCATCCAAGAAGGAATCAGTTCGTCCTTTAATTCCTAATAGCGTTAACATTTGGGACGAGGCTATGATTATTGCTGAGGCATTGGTGAAGCCACTGATCACAGGCAAGCTTATAAAGTCCACGAGAAATCCAAGATGAAGCAGACCCATTGTTGTTATTATGCAGCCTGACAGAAAAGTCAGTAAAACCTGTTAGCATAAAACGAATTTCCTCAAGTGATTTAAAATACTAAGATTCTTAAAAAGTATTTTAACTCGGAGATTAACGATCCATTTTTTTTAAACATCAGGTGTTAACACCATTTATCTTCAGCTTATGAATATTCTTAAATTCATGCAAAAAATAAACCAGAATATTCCAGCCATCTGTTGTAAAAAAAAGTGCCTTTTTCTGAGGAACTCTAAACCCAAGGTTTTTTTTTAATATTATTGATTCTAAAAAGTTTGATAAAATACTGCGAACACGAAGAATTCACGCAATATATAGAAAAATTAGAAAAACCTTTTTTTTTGTCAATTAAATTTTACGTCCATTACGATCAGTTCACACATACAAGATCTTTTTATAAAGATCTAGGCGTAGCCATCTTCGATTATTGGCGAAAATTATTGTCAGTTTATTCTCAACAGAGAAATTAAATGAGCTTTAAATAAGTATATGTACGAACCGCCAAGTCCTCGCCATACGATGCCACGAAGGAATGCGTCAGCAAACCCATGATTGCTGTTGGTCCCACTGTTACGTTCCTGGTGCTCCCGAAGAACATGTATACGAAACATCCCATGAAACTACTATACAATCCATACTGAAAGATAACACAAAATAAGTTTGACACCGTTTGAAATCGACCTATACCTTATTCTACTGGAGTGACTAAAACTACTTTTTGACTTGAAATAATTTGTGTTTTCTAAGCAAGTTGAAGAGTTGATTTAAGAGGTACGGCTGTTCTAGTGGCACGTGAATTTTATTGCTGGTTATATTTTTAAAAAATGAAAATGGCAGGATATTGTTCTCAAATTTCGCGGCTGGCTCCACAGCTAAGGGTGATTTGGTCTTAGGCAGTTTAGAAAGTTGAGATAAGGACTAGGGTAAGGGTGGAAAGATTTATTAAGAAATTTTAATAAGAAAATTTGAACAAGGATTATGGGTTTAGTTGGATTATGAAAGATAGGGTGAGGGACTTTACTAGTTGGGTTTCAGGATCAACTCCCTCCACGCAGAGATGATTAACGGGTGACCGTGAAAATTACTTAAACAGGTAAGAAAAATACAATGAGTAAAAACACACATTTTAATAAACAATGGAAAACAATTAAAAATTACTTAAACAGGTAAAAAAAACACAATTAATAGAATCATACATTTTATTAAACAACGAAATGTCTAGTAAGTATTGTATACATCAGGATACAAATTTAATAATGAAAGTAATGTGTTTCATCTACATAGCCTCAAATAAGTTGAGGTGCTCACTCGTATGATTGTGTAAGCTTGTGACATGCTACATGTAGCACATGTTGCTCTTTAATGTTTGCTATCACATATAATATATTAATTTTTATATAATTAGTATCATGTCTCTCGTATCTTTTACTTTATTTAAACACAATATTTTTTTTGCTGTTTCCACACATACATTAAATTTCTAATTACATTCATAATACGAGTTAAAAAAAAATTACTTAAGCGTTAACATGGATCATCACTGAAACGTCACATATTTGTGTGACATTTATTAGATACTAACATCTTTAATATCATCATGCAAACATTTTTGAAACGAATGCACGGTTACATTCAATTCGGAAAATAACAGCACGTGTGAAACACATGAATTTCTCTCTTGAGAGTAGATATGCAAGTACTGTGATCAAGTAATTAAGCTCATGTTCCCTGGCATATCCAAAATAGAATGTGATCAACAATTAGTCTGCAGCTGTGGACACGTTCATGGGAGGATTCTTTATTATTTTCAAGATCAATAGCATTTCCGTAGACGGAAGTTGGTGGAGGCTTGTGGGTGCTGCAGTGTGGAGACTCCCTTTGATGGGTTTGCATATGGTTCGTCAAACTACTACTTTTTTCCTTGTAAGCTTTTGAACATCTAGAGCAGGTAAATGGCTTCTCACCGGTGGTGTGAATCCTCTCGTGCTTCAGAAGGGCACTCCTTTGTTTGAAAGCTTTCGAACATCCCGTACAGGCAAAGGGCCTCTCATTGGTATGGAGCCGCATGTGCACGACGAAATTACTTTTAAGGCTGAAGGCTTTCGTACACACTGTGCAGGTGTAAGGCTTCTCATTAGTGCGACTTAATTCGTGTATTGCAAGATTTGCTTTTATGGAAAAAGTTCTCGAACACTTCGTCCCTTTATTGGTAGAGATTCTCTCATGTTCTGTGAGATGGCTTTTTGGATGAAATATTGTGGAACATCTGTAGCAGCTAAAGCACCTTTTGTTGTTGTGGATACATTTATGTTCCGTGAAGGTAGAATCTGAAGCACATGGTTTACCACACAAATCGCAGTTATGGGTACTTTTTGTAAAAGTCCCAAAACTATAGCTGGAACTCTGCTCTCGACTGTTGTCGGTGATTGGAAGACAAAGGCAGGATGTTTCAGAAGTTGTTTATTTTTCTGTCAAGAAGAAAAGTAAAAATGTTATTCGTCTCAGAAGGGATTCGAGAATATGAATATACGTTCATTGAAATGTATCATAATTTTTTTCCCGTTATAACTATTTTAATGCGCAACGTGAAAATTATCAAAAACATGATTGTAAAGCTTGAATAATTAAAAACAAAGATACCAAAATTTGTTTAAAGTCAATAGTTTATTTGATTTTTAATTGGTAACAATTATCAACTGACAACAATGGTGTATCAGTGAAACTTCATTGGTTAAGATATTGCCACTGCACAAAGCTTATTATTTTTGGCCTTGTAAAAAAAGTTTAATTGCAAGCTTTCATTGTGCTAATCGAAAATAACTTTCTGGTTAATATGAGGTGTTAAACTTTTCCAACGAAATGTTTTATTGTATTAAAAGGACACAAAGAAAATTCAGTCAGACTTAAACACAACTTTTTTTTTATTGAAAAGAATCTTACCTTTTGTATTGTATTTGGACATCAAATTGAAGGATTAATAACTATTGCTGTGTTTTCACAAATAGTCACTGCATCGAATTTTGAAGTTAATCAAACGACAAACATTCGAGACGATTTTAAAAGTGTGACATATTTCAAATTCTCCACATACGTTACTCAAGTTCAAAATGTAAAAATATATGAATACGCACACTTTGCAGTAAAAGTACTAAAAATTCATCAGATATTACTCTAGAATTACCCGAAACTTTTCTATTCTACAAGTGTGACGTCAACCTAAAAATAGTCATAACTTACATTGGTATACATTTAATGTTTGAGTTAACAATCGGAAGCGCCTCAGATACAGCTCTAGACTAAAATCGTAGATATTATAAAGTAACCCTGATCTTCATCATCCTTACAAAAATTTCAAAAAATTCTCAAAAATTCCCTTGTAGCTCATTGGTATGAAAAAACTCATGATAAAGAGCCATGTGTTGATCACCCAAGTTATATTACATTTGGCTCGTGTAGACTAATATGCCTTAGGGCAAGGATAGTTTCACGCGATGTGGTAGGTACCTATCCCATGACTCTGACTGATGTTTAAGCTCTGCGACGCTGACTACGCCACGAAACGACAGATTGAAAGTATAGCACTATACAGAAAAATAGATTCATCATTTTGCAATATAGTTGTAAGTGTAAATTTATGTCACAATGGTCTTATCAAAACTGACATTGAATCGATATCTTTGATATTAAAATCCATTAAATGGGGACGCTTGACTGTCACACATGTGTAATATTTTAAAATCTATTAGGACGTACTCTGGCATTGGTAAAAACTGTAAATTCTAATTTGGTGAATCAAACGATTATGAAGATACCGTGTTATCGTCCTTCAACTGAAATGCTTAAAACAAAACAATGTGGCCAAGCGGAAGGAAAACGCTAACTCTTATGTAATCCAGCTTGTGGCATTTTCAGTCAAAAAGGCTTCAAGTGAGTGACCCCTGTTATTTAATGTACTCCTGTACAAGTGAATGCATAAACTAATATCTCGTTTATCACGGCATTGAATCACTCGTTCAACTACTTTTTTGTACTAGCAAACAGTTGTCGGAGTAGTTTGTTTGCATGTACTTACATGCAGTGTTGTTAACAGGGATGATATTTGAGTATTGTTGCTTGTTATCAACATGGTCACCATCTTATTTATATTTGAATTAATTTATTTCTTTATTAATTTACGAGTTAGCATAAAACATTATTTATTCACCATGCTAACGTAAAATTCCTAACTATTAACAATTTTAAGAATAAAAGCCCAAAATCTTCTATGTTAGAGGTATACAGGTTCGTATAAATTTATCTGTATGATACATTCTGCTGAATAATGAGGACCATAAATAGTGGCTGTCTGACACATAAACCCTATATATGCACTGGACATGTAAGAAGTTTAAACTAAATTAATTGCTACTGTGAGTAAGTAGTAAGGAACTAGAGTTGCTAGTGAAGAGTAGAAAGCCAAGAGGCTGTTGGCGGCAGGCATTGGTGGAGATAAAATGCTGATAGTTTTCTTTCCAAGCCTTTTGACGAAAGACCTTTAGTATTTACCAAGGGGGAATATTCTTTTCATTGACGTTAATTTCAGCTGTGAGAACGACTATTCATTATTTCGACAGTAAACTACAATGCTGCAAAAATTAAAAGTCAATGCCAACTACTTATAACTGGCTATTAAAATAATGAGCTTTTTTTGACACAGCTGTACTGCTGAGCTGTTGCTAAAATCAATAACGATAAAAAAGACATTCTTAGTTTTGCCACAAAGTTGAAGTACATTGTTGTATTTTTAGACCCCCCTCCCCCACATAAAAACTTACACTTAACAAATGTCATCAACTGACATGAAGATGTACGAATTTTACCAGTTTAATCGGTGCAATTTTACACTGACATTAAAGTGTTTCGTTATATCATTCGTATTCGCAACTTCTCTTATTTAATATTTATTGGATTGCTATAAGAAAACTGATAACATTACAAAATGTACTACTAGTAGTGCAAGTCAGATAAGTCAAGAGTCGCCTAACCTCTTTCATGTGAAAGGACACGTACACCTTTCTTTACTGCTTAGTATTTGAAAAACATTAATTTTTCATCAATATCAATCACTATTAGTCTTTGTAGGCACTTTAAATGTTCCTTTGTTTATTTAGCTCTTTTTCTTTCAAGTTATTTGAAAATTGTTGCAAGTATTAAACATGCGGTATACTGCTGAGCCAAACGATAAAAATAAAAATATGATGAAGAATTTTGTAAAAGCTATAATATTTTGCATAACACAGCGTCTTAATGTCCTAACAACACACTTTTAAAATACTCCGTCTTTAATTGAACAAAAAGATTCTTAAATTTACATTAAACAGCAAGTTGTGTAGCTTTACCTACAGCTAAATAATTAACATTTTTATCTATCATTTTGAAAATAAGTAAGTCCTAAAATAATAGGACTTTAAACTCTAATGGGCTTAGATTTAGTTAAAAATTCACAACCGCAATTTACAAATTAGTGTAAATTAACAGTACTTCTTGCTGTAACTAATTTCAAATGGTTAGAACAAAAAGTTTGTTACTGTTACCAAATAAACTTGTGTAACTATGTTACAACCAAACTTTTTTGGTTAACTAAAGTAATTTTTTTTTGTTTAATGAAACGCAATTGCAAACGATTTATATTTTCTGTCTTGATTCTCAGATTACTAAAGTATAGAATTAACTTGATTAAATATTCAAATAAAAACATAGGGTACATTTCCGTACATGACCTTGAAATCCATGAGATGTCTATCTATTTTCAAATCGTGAGGGCAAATAAAAAAAATCGTCCGGATATAAGCTGCATAAGTTATGTCATCAAAATTTTAAGAAGTATACTTTATAAATATTAAAATGATAGTTCATTAATGTAGATACTTATTTTGATTATTCTTACTAACACTGCTCTTAGCACTCATACTTCATTAATGTACTAGTGATTTTAAATTAACAAAATATGACTTGAAATATTATTATTAATGACATTCAAACTAACTATCTGTACAAAATTTTGAAGTGCATTAATCTACAATTAAAATTAATTGAGTCCTGTTGAAAAATATGCTTCTTTCATAATACGATATCAGTGAGCCACATTTGAGGCAGCTCTTATAGTTACTAAAACGGTCTTTCATACGTACCAGTATAATTTATTAAATAAAACACACAACACAACAGCAGCTCGTACTCTTTAAAGTCATTTGGATTTTATTGACTATGGTGAGGCTGGTGATAGCACGTAAATTATATAGATTGTTGATCTAACATAATCATGAAAAATAAGCAGTGTAAGAAGTCCAATCATGTGATATGATTCAACTTATCAGTATTAACTAATGTTTTGAACCAGACAGTAGATCTGATTATTGGAAGAAATAGTTTGTGAACAGCTTGTTGACTCTGAGTTTTTTACGTTTTTAACTCTAATTCAAATTTCAGCTAAGATATAAAGAATATTCTTTCAAAGACCAATAGTTTTTTATATTGATTATATATATTAATACATAAAAGATTCATCCCCAGAAACATTAGTTATCAGAAAATATTTAAAAAGAGTGTGACGTACGTAATATACCTTGTAATGGTGAGTAAAAAAAATATCGACTTATTACCGTTGAAATTTTTCACGCACGACGTTTGGTACGTAAAATTTTAATTTTTTCTATGTCATAAATTTTTTACCGTTTCCTTCAAAATACAAAAACGTAAATCACAATAATAACTCTTTGGTTGTAAAATAAATGGTTTTAAAACTACATTCCAGCAATCGGATGTGTAACAAATCCAACAACTTGTATTGAAAGGACTATTGCAATAAATCTGAAGAACCAAAAAAAAAATAAATAAATAAATATCAGACCTGAGGTGGTAATCCAGCAACATCGGCATAAGCGATTCCTTGAGGTATGACCGTGAGGCCGACGGTTATGCCAGCCAGAGCGTCCTGCATGAACTTTCCCAAGCTGTAGTTGGGCAGCCAGGCTGTGATGGGGAGGCGGCGGTGAAGCTGCTTCTGGAAGGTGCAGCCATTGGGTTGTTCCCCTCTCATTTCGCTGCCTGCGCGAGCAAAAACCGGCAACAAATAATAAAACACGTCGTTACCATGCTGTGACATTTTGATGTTAGTATCGACTATCCCCAACGCCACTAATGTCACGTTCATCTACGAGATCAGTTGTGCGAGCAACACACGTCTTCAACAAACTGCGATATACAAAGTCACTTATCTGCTTATGAGTAGTGATTGTGCTTTATCTATATTTTCTCAATACACGTGTTATAGTTTAGTAGATACAAACTTGTACTACTTCAAGGTTTGAACTATTCACTATGAGATTAATTGTTTCTATGTATACATGCATGCGTGGGCTTTTTCGTTTTATTTTTATGGATTGTATAGGATTATATTTAAAATATATAGATTTCATACTAGTTATTGTTGTCATTTACATTCTTTAACCAATTGATGGAATATGGCAACACTTTTTTTTTAAATTTAGGTAATTACGTGATATTTCTAAATTAAACAATGTAATAGTTGAAAGGTAGTATATTTGTAGCAACAAGCATAATATAACGTTATAAGTTATTTATTGTAAATCACAGCGTACAATAAAAAGGCATGCAATAATTTTTGTTCAATGAACGATGAGACGGCATTGACAGTTAATTGTGAAGGCTAAAAAGAGTCAAGATTAGAAGGTATGAACACTTGTATGCTTACATGCTTGACCTGTAAAATAAACGAACACGATGAAATATGTATCAAATGTCACCTGTCCTAAGATAAATTGAAACATTGATACTCCGACAACTTATGTAACCACACTAAAACATTGAAACCACGTAAAAGTATGTTTGTACAAGATGGTTCATTACATGCTATCGACAATCATTGAGAGATCTACTTGAGTTTTTGATTCGTTTTTTGTGTTATAAAAAAAAAGTACGTTTTATCTCATCCATTTAGTTATTTATATATTTCAGAATAAAAAATTAGCAATTTAACACGGGCTGTTACGGGAACAATGTTATGACCTAAGAATAACTTATCTTAGTAATAATGAAGAAATCGAAAAAAAATATACTTCGATACTTCAAATACTGCGGATTCATATGATCCTCTGATTTTTACCTGCATGTATCTATACTAATCACAGAGCAAATCTTGATTTTTTTTAATATAAACAAAAACTTTGGTTACGTTTGGTCAACTTTGGTAAAAATCGTTATTTACTACCTCTTAGAGTTGTTTCTCTACATCAACATTTTTATAGCAAAAGTTTATTTGTTCAAAATAGATTCAACAACTATCTTTACAAATTTTCTGGACAGCAGTACGAATTGAATGCAAAAAATCTCATCGAAATCCATCTTACTGCGCCAATTTGAGCTTGCTCAGTACTTCATTTCTTGGACTAAAAGGACTAGTAGAGTATTATCATACCTTATGTGGCTAACTTCACAGTCCTTTCATTCAAAAGTTGAGAGGGAAAATAACTTTCAATGAATTTAAGCATATTATAACCATCTACATTTATTACTCGAGGAAACTTTATTATCCATGGTGCTAACTTCGTTTACTCCTCGTAAAAATCATAGTTTAGGGTATACGAGAAGTCATATGACAGTGAAACCTAATGCAGGTGACTTCAAGGGGCTTTCACTCAAAAGTTGAAAGGAAAAATAATTTTCATATTGATTTGAGCATTCTAGCTCTAAGGGAGACCGGGGCGGGATGGAATCTGGAGTTGTATGGGTTTTTGCTGTACCTCACTATCTAATCAGCGAATTATTTTAGAAAAATTACTTTTTGTTCGTTAAGTACAAGTCGATAAGGAAATTGCAAAAATGTGATTTTAAATTTTTCTAACATAAAGGAAGAAAAAAAATTTCTTCTGTCAGGATATTGGCCGTGGCACTTTTTCAACGTATAAAAACAATACAGATAGCGAATTCATGGACTCAAAGTAAAAACATCAATCGTAATATTCATTATATTTATTACGATTTTACATCCCTTTCATAAGAGTCAGAGCTTTTTGTACCTGATGAGGGCCAGGACAAAACGTCGTTTTGTTTTTTAATAAATATAAAATATGACAGTACTACCATTGGACGTTGTTTTTAATTCTTTGCCAACTGTCATTGGACGTCTTATTTGAGTAAACTAAATTAGATCGTGCATCTTGAGTGGATTCATGTATTATATGCAGGACTCCAAAGTCAATGGTGCGACAAAAATGTGTTTGTGTTCAAAATCCTAAAATATATAAAAAATTTCATGGATATTGGTTTATTGAATGTATTTAAGTGCCCATATGAAACTACAAAAGGTAACATTCCGTAAAACTTACAGTTTTATACAAAGTGGTTTTGTAAAATTGTGTTTCACCTCTAAATTTTTGCAGACGATGGTCTCATAAACCTTTAACATATAATATAATGTGTGTCTATTTGCTGTGAGGAGTTTTTATACTATATGATACATGTGGACTCAGCGATACAAATATACATTGCGATTGATAAGGAGCTTGTGGTAATCGGTACTTTCAGTATATGTGAATTTGAGCAATAAGATATCCATAAAAATTTAATAATTGGCTAAAAGTAACTACAGTACAACTTTATTACAAGTTTAAATTAATCATACGGCACCATAGTGAAAAACTTTCCAAACAAAAAAGTTTTAATTTAATGAGCTCTACCACTTTTTATCGACCACTCAGTTGTAAAGTCTCAATTTTTCTTTTTTGTATGCAATAAAGGATTGTTTTCTATTTTCGTGTCAGTTTTGCATTATGAAGCATTTGTATTGAATGCTATAGTAAAATGTTTGATATAAAAAAGTTGTATTGTTACAACTGCACATGCAACAGTAAAAAAAACTGATTTTTTCGTCTTGGAGCGCTGCAATGAAAGTTCCGGCAAAATTTTTCTCTTTGACAAAAACAGAGAAAACGTCGATGTTGAATTCGAAGCTACTCGTAAAATTTAAGCCTATTTAAATAATAATTACTTGGGTTGGACAAAAAACTTGATTACCTGCACACATACACACTTGCATACTTCGTGTGATTAACAAAACAATGCGATCTGTGAGTAAAGGAATTTTAACAAAATCAGAAACTCTGATTCATAGAAGCGAACTCGACATCTTCAGTCGTGATCCAATACTACCTAAAACTCTAATTAAAACTCAACGTTATATTAGAAGGAATAAGAATTTTTACATAAAAATTAATCACTTGCTTTTTTATCATTTTAAAACAATACCTTTTAAGGCCACGGTTGTTTCAGAAAGATATCTGTTTTGTATATGCTAAATTTTTTTATAACTAATTACCTAGTAGTCTAGAAAAATCCAAAAAAAATTTGTACTGGCTACCTTATTTATTTTTGAAGATAAAAATGGTTAGCTTAAAACCAGAGGCATGTTTAAGGTAGTTGTTTCCCAATATATAGGTCAATCGTATACATAGATTACAATACCAAGGTTATGTTCATATATTATCATCCCGTATTTAAAATATCAGAGAGAAATGTGAATGCCTTTGCGTATACTTGTACGCACATAAACGTGTACATTTATCTACTTGTACTCATATGATAATGTGACGTTGCCCCATACGCGATACTTACTTGGTTATCTTCCAAAATCAAACGAAAAGCACTGTTTTGATTACTATTACTTTAAAACTATATGGTAAAAAATTTTCATAAAAATATATGTGTTTCTTTACTGTCTTTTTACAGTAATTTTTTAATTATTTATAGATATGGGGTAAGTAACACTTTTTAATATAATGGGGCTATGTAGTGTTTGCACCATTGCTCCAATGTTAAAAGAGTGATTTTTTGACGAGGATATTTCAATAATGACGTGGTAAATTGGCACAAATTTTTTACACATATTCCTCAACGCTTATATTAGTTTTGCTGAAAATTTTGTTCCTTTTTAGATACTTTTCATTTAGGAAACAACCACCTGAACTCTCCTACCCATAAGAATATTCTCCGAAGTAAATGAAGGATATAAAATCAGTTCCCCTTGAGTTTTCTTGTAAAGTACAGTTTTTAATGATTCAAGTACGTATAACCATGATGTTAGTATTAAAATAATAATATTCAATCTTGTAACATTTAAATTTTACAAAAAAAATAAAAACGACGAATCTTCCATTCCAAAAACAGCAGTACAGACCGACAAATAACATTGGAGTGAATCTTCATGTAGATATAACTTAGTTAGAAGTACTTTGTTTTCAAAATTCATTTTTTTTGTAAATTTTTTCTACTTTTCAGTTTTTAACGTAATTCTAAGAAAATTTCATTCTTTTTCATCGATGAAGTCATGTTAAGTGCGACTTGTTTATTTTCTCATTGTGTCAAAACATCAGCATTTAAAGGTAAATATCTCGGAATCAAGTACCACTATGTACTCAAAATAATTCCCACTTACAAAGGATACAGAAACAGACCTGTAGTTTTTATTGAAACAAGTTTCTAAGAAAATTAGTTTCCCGGGGAACGTCCTTACGAAGTGAGCATTTTAGTGTATACTGTGTGATACCAAGATGCGCCTCTACTACTCTGATGTGACCTTGAGCCTTATTTTGTACGTGTGAGTATACAACTTGTTCAATGCCAATAAGAAGTCAATCACAGCTAAACTAAATTATCGCATGTGTCAATTGCATTATATATTTTGCAGGCTGTACATTACTTCATAAAGAGTGGAACCATCGAGACCCATGCAGGGGCTTTGACGAAAAATAATATGTTCCTTGGGCTTCCACTAACTCGCTCATACGTTATTTTTATCTGTTTCGTGCAAGTAAATACTGGTATTTTTAACCTTATCCAACAACAATTAACGATAAAAATTATCAACGCTTCAAAACTTTTTGGTTTTTCAAAATTTTAACTCCACGTGAAGTTTTTATCTAATAATTGACTTGGTAATCGACCAAAATAAATATTTGAATCGCATAAGATCCATCAAGACTTTGCTTAAACAATGTACAGACCAAATTTCTGAAAAATTTTAGCACTAC